AGTGCTTTTTCTTCTGGTGGTTCTGCACTGCAGGGTCTTTACACTCTATTGCTCACTCTGGCCTTTATTGTTATAATGCTTTTCATTATTCGACCAATCTTCAATCGAATCCATGGATATTATCTACGTCGTGAAGATGATTGTAATGTTTATGTGGTCGTCGGCTGCTTTTTGCTTCTCGTCATAGCCGCATTCACCACGGAAGTGATGAGTAAATATACTTCTTATAAAGATGTTAAATGCGTTATTTTTATTAGATATCCATGCATTCTTTGGAGCATTCGTCGCCGGTCTGTGTATTCCACGAAAAGGTGAATTGATCGAGTTTTTATCGATACGTATTGAACTAATCATAGTCGAATTCTTCTTGCCGTAAGCGGTTCTCATTAACCATTTCTGTTGATGATCGATTCTTCTGTCGATTTTAGTCTCTACTTTGCCAATAGTGGTCTTAACACCCGATTGAATCTGCTGAATACAGGTCGAGTATGGTGGACATTGCTCATTCTTATTCTTTTGGCTTCTGTGGCGAAAATCGTTCCCGTGACATTGACGACGAGACTATGTACAAAGAAACCATGGTACTATTGTATGTCGATGGGTATATTGATGAATACTCGTGGAATAGTTCAATTAATCGTTTTAAATATTGGTGTTGAACTCAAAGTTCTCTCACCCGTGATCTTCGCAATGTTCGTCTTGATGGCCACCATTTTGACATTTTCCACTTCGCCCATTTTGTACATTCTCTACCGACGCAAATATAATCCGAAGATATTGCAAGAGTCGAAGGATGCACACGACTGGAATTTGGCCTTTGAGGGAGAAAGCAATGTCAACGATCACAACGAAGGGCTTTCGACGATTTCAACGGACGAATTTGATGTGTCGTTACAGAGACAGATGTCCCATGCATCCATTAAAATGAACAACATAAGAAAGGATTTGCATATGTCATTGGATGCTCGACTCAGTTCTTCACGATCTTATGCAAATGAAGAAAGACTTCAATCGAGACGATACAGCAGAATGACTCTCTTTTAACCATAAATTGCCTAATTCGAGTTCGAACATAAATGAAAGTCCAACTGCTTGATGTCACTGCAAAAATAAATGAAAAAGCTTGAACCATAAGAGGGTGAGGGGGAAGGTGTGTGAGGGTGAACAAGATAAGATCACTCTCATTCACCCACCATCATCCTCAAGATAATTTCGCGAAAGGTTCTGTGAATTTAGAGAGGGTTCGCGTTACTTTATGTTCGCTGGTTTCACGCACTATTCTCTATCCATCTATCTAGCTATCTGTTGGTCTACCTATCTACTTATCGGCCAACCTACCTATGTATCTGACTACTTGTGTATCTACCTATCTAACTCTATGTCTAACTATCTATCTATCTCACTATCTGTGACCCTAGTTATTTATCTATCTTTCTGCTTGTCTATCTGTTTATCTATCATATTTATCCATCTGCTATAGTCTGTATTTTAAAAACATCAGGGACGTGACCGAAAATGCAAAATACTAGCAGTGACTATTAAAAATGTCCTCGTATTCGACGACTTAAATCATCAAAACTTAATTTTCATGCAAAATCCATGTCATATTCGAGATTATCACTGAAAATCTGATTCGAATGATATGTTTCATTAAAAACAATTTTTTGTCAAAATTTTATCCAAGCAAGATCATGGACGAAATTTATCAAAACAAGAACTGAAGTGGAATAGGGATGGAATTTTGACGAAAAATTGGTTTTAATGAAACATGTCATTTGAATCCGTTCTTAGTGCTGATCTCGAATATGACATGGAATTTACTTGAAAATGAATCGTTGATGTTTTAAGCCGTCGAAGATGAGGACATCTTCAGTAGTCACTGCTAGTATTTTGCATTTTTGGTCACCTTCCTGAGGCTTTTGAAATATAAACTATAATGCATCCTATAGAAAATTGTTTTCTCTACAGGATAGAGATCTCAAATTTTGAGGTAAAAAGTCATAGCTGTACAGTTTTTACCAAATATTCGGAAACTGATGTTTCATATTTGGAGTTTTTTCATATTCTAGACTCCAGATATCATATTCGAGACGTGAAAAATATCACATCTCGTTCAGCTTTTTCCGCTGTTTCGAATGAGACATTGCTAGAAAATATTGATTGCAAAATGGTTGAGGAAGACGGAAAAGACGAGAAACCTGACTTTTGAGAGAATTGAAAATAGCCTGCTTTTAAGAATTCAATATGTCGGTCAAAAAAGTTTTTTCATCTACAACTTTATTGATAGAGGTTTTTGGACAAGGGCTATCAAATAGGTATATAAAGATTAAGGCCTGGAATTTGACCACATGACTGTGACGAACTGGAGAAATAGCTCTGTCGCTACCTTCGATAATGATGCTTATCGAGCTACTTCATCACTCTAGTCGTATCTATATTACTATGAACACACGATTATATACTAGTCACACAAGAGAAAAGGAAAAGAAGAGAATTGAAGTGAAGTGTAACGGTCAAAAACCGTTACAGTGATGTGATTTCTTGATGAGTTCAGGGAGCTTCTCTTAATATATGTTTATAGGTTGATGTCTCTACGAAAATTCTCTTCTTTGTATAGTTTATTCTTCTAAAAAAACATAAGTGGATTCTGTCTCATTGTTCATATTTTGGGGTGTAGATGAATAGAAGATAGATATCCACACCCACACCCTCGTTTTGTAGGTAGCTGCTGGAAACCTATACAAGTTTTTCGAAGTCTCGCAAACCTGTACTGGGTTTCTGAGATCCTGCGCCTTTTTCATTGCTTTGAAGAGTTTCCGAGAGTTTGGAAACCGTTTCCCAGAAACCTATAAAGGGTTTCGTATAGTGACAAACCCGGAAGCTCTCTATAGATTTTCGATAGTACTTTTTTTAGAGTACACCCACACCCAGTCATACCCTGAACAGTTTAGAATCAGTTTATACTTATAGATATAAGGGAAGTACATGATACAGATTATATCTGACAAATTTTCTCCTAATTGAAGTTGATGGTAACTAAATAAAACGGACTTAGTAGAATATGAAGTAGAATTTTCTTGAAATCTACCAAATCTTCTTTATTTTATTCTAATATACGTCTCGAAAGATTTAACTAGATATAATAATTCATACTGAGTGTTTTTGTTTTAATTGAGTCTTTAAAATTGATTTGAATAAATGTTTAGCTTCAAGGAAAATGAAAATGAAAATAAAAATAAAATCTGTATTGAATGTCGATGAAGAAAATTTTTTTCTGTGGATTTTCATTATAATAAACATTTATTCGTATGTACTCAATATAAAGAAAAGTATGAATAATTTTATTATTCTTAACTTGTTTTTCGATTGTATTGCATATAGATATGAAAGAAGATCTTTTATATAATAGATAAGAATGATGAATTTATCACAACATGCCGAAGTCTTCTCGATTATGAAAGATGAAAAACAATGATTAAGCAAAAGTATTTTTTCTGTAAATAAAAATGATTTCAAAGCTGTAAGTTGAGAACATATTAAATAAATCCTTAAAATTATTTAATAGATTTCTAGTGCTTTTGGTTTATTGGTCTATCTTATTCCTCTGGCAACACTAATTTGCGTTTGCATAATTTGTGCTCTTTGGAGAGAAACAAGACGTAGTTAGTCAAAATCGATTTTATTTTAATTCATTTAATTTAATACTATAGATCGTACCACTAACACAAATCGTCGTATCGACACAATACCATCTGCAATTGTTAATCCAGTAGAACAATTGATAACCGAAAATAATTCAAATTGTCCTCCACCTCCATACAATGCAGAATTTCAACACAATTTTGATGATTCTTTACCTTCATATGAACGTGCAATGAATAGAATTTTATAAACTAGAATCAGTAAGCTAAGATCTATCTCGAGGTTATCGTCTCTAATTAAAGATAAATATTTTTCTGTTGAAAGTATTTTCCTTGCTTGTTTAGATAATCTTCTCTATACTTCGAGATAAAAAATAAAATCTATTGCCGAATAAATATTATTTTGGTTAAATGTTTCATTTGTTTCTTTGTTATTATTATAACTCGATAAAAAATAAACATCGCCTCTTGAAATTAATGACAATTCAATTATAATTACATTGGACATTTCATAAAGTATATTGAAAAACGAATGTGACAAAATCTTCGATATAATATTTATAGTAAAATATTAATTTAATTCGAATATAAGAATGATCTTTGTTTCGAATGGAGTGAATCTTTGTTAAATAATTCATTTGATATTTGCTTTATTGATTACGAATTTCTAGCAGTTTCATAAGATTTTCATAGAATGATGATCGTTGTTTTCAGTGGCCACGCAAAGGGTCCAGGCTGGGGGGGAGGGGGCAGGTGTAAGTGTCTTTAAAAGTTTTGATAGAGGTGTGTACGACAAAAAATCATCTAGTGACAATCAGAAGCGCACCTGGCCTCCAAATGTAGAGAAATGTAAAAATTTTTCCGCCATAAGTATAAAAACCGTTGTCGGTTATCTTTTCTACATGTGACTTTTTTTGTAGTGCCACGTAGCGATAAAAATTTTTTCATTTGCATAAATCAAACATTTTTGAGAAGAAAACAGCTGTATTGAAACTATCAATACAGCAGTTGTTTTGGAAGAAAATGCCACTGAAGACGGTAGCTTTTCGGAACAATATAAAACAGAAAACTCTGACAAATATGCATTCATTGGTATAAAAAGTCGATTTTTCCAGTGATAGGAGAGAAATAATTTTTCTTTGAGATTGATCGCCGAAGACAGCTACACTTTCTACTCTTATTTATCTTGAAAGATGAATATCAGCTATAAAGCATTTCATAATGAAAACCGAAATGGAAAAGAGCCATTCAGTTATGCAATTACTGGAAAAACCTAAATCACATAGCGAAAATTTTTGAAAAATGCCTCAAAATTAGGCATCAGAAAATTCTTTACTTAGAAAGGACGAGGGCGCATAAGATCACAAATCGGCCCACTAAGAATATCTACGTAAACACTATACAGACATGGGTAAAAAGTTGTGCTGAATCAATTGGTGATGTTTTCAAATGAAACGAGAATGATTTGAATCGTTACATAGTCACTATATCACACCTATAAAACTCGCAGTAAAATGACTTTTACTCATTCGCTAAAATGGACTCATAAAACTGTGTTAATTTATGTTATCCGAGATCGCATATACATCATTAGAAAGAGCACAGAAAACTGCAGAAGTTTATGCATGAACCATGAAAACATCACATCTTTTTGAAAAATTTTTCCGGTCATCCTTTCGGCAAACAGTGCGCCAATATAGGTGGCTAGGTAGTTGTCGCCAATATTGTGGACGATCTTTCTCTCTTTTTTTCAGTTTAAAACATTTTCGTTTATATACCAAAGGTGTGTTGTTTGTCACACATTGAGATGCAGTTTTGATGGTCTTTATTTAGTCAATATACTTGAAAACCACCTATTTTTTTCTGTTAGCTGTAAGCAATGAAAAAAGCGATGCTACTTTACAAAAGCTTTATCAATAAGGACCCCTCTAATGAGAAAAATGACTGGAAATGTATCAGTCGTGTCATTGCACAATTCGTTAACGTTAATACATCACTAATATTCGAATACTCATCTAATATCTTGGATATTAACTTTATAGGAATCTTCCATCCGGCATAAAATGTAACGTTGAGAAGAGAAATTTAAAAAAAAAACTTATGTGAACTCTATCATTTTTTATATGAAGAAGTTAAAAATGTTGAAATTTAGGTTGTAAATAATTTTGTTGTGTCCAAGCAAAAAAAGATCTTTGTTTTCTATTTCTTTTAAAGGTGAACAAAGAGTATATCAAATGATGCTGTTTTATAGTACTCTTCGTAAGCTATCTATCACAATATAAAACAAATCGAATAGGACGTGTATATAAAATAATACCTGTAGAAAAAGGTATGCAAGTTTTTTTGCCCACAGCTCTATTTCTTCTTGATTGTTGATAGATAAATTTTCATTTAAAGTTTTTATTTCTCCATCAAATCAATTGTCTTTCTCTTTTCAAGTGTCAATTTCGTGTTGTGGGTAAAGGGATCTGAATACTCCGATTTCCATCTTGTAATTGTCGACAAAATAACGACAAGAATTCTTTTCGGAATTTTCGTGAACATGCTGTATATACTAGAAAAGAAGATTCTGCAACTCTAAATCAGATTCAATCTATATCTTACCATAGAACTGTGCGCAACAGTACATGAAATTCAATAATGGACTAATGATGTATCCAATCAAAGATTCGACTGCTTTCCGTGTTGAACTTTTGTAAACAGCAAATGAGTCAGTTGAGACACTGTAGATTAAATTAATCGGATATGGAAGGGTTGTTAAACAATAGACAACAACTTCACCAGTTAACATACTCATTAAATCACGATCACGTTTATGAATTCTCATATGGCGAGTGCCAATAGGTGCTACACGAGTACGAGCCAAACGTAAATTATGCCAAGCTCGTACACTGAACACAATCATTAGTAAAAGAGGGAGAATACCAATAATAAATAGAGAATAAATAGCATAGAAGAAAGCATAGGTACCAGGCGTGGCTATACATCGACCGGAACTGTTATTGAAAAAAATTGCCATATGAATAGGTATAATAGTCCAAACAATAATCAGAATAATGATCAAACGAATAGCTTGACGTGGTTGAGAAAAAGATCGAATAGTGCGATTTTCTGAACATAAAGCCCATCGATCAATACAAGCGCTAATCACTAGAATAATGTCAAAAAATTAGTTACTTGCTGATAGATCAATATCTGAATACTTACTAAAACTTCGTGATAACATCAATAGTGCATGAGTACTAGACCAACGAAGTTTACAAATAATATTTGATGTATGTTGAGGATCAATATGATCGATACCAATGATATTCGACATTAATGCTGTATTAATCACAATCCAATTGGAAATCGAAGCAGCAAGTAAATAGAGTGAACATGAGTTGAGTTTTTGTTTTACTGAACGTGATAAAATTAAGATAGTGAAGAGATTACCAACATTGCCAAGAACTAATAATGTCGATAGACCATATCGTGCAACATTTTGTTGGATGATAGTTAAAGATGACATGATCAAAAAAGAAAATAGTTTTGAGAAGAATGTTATTAGTTGACTTTGTTTTATAAAGAAATATGATATGAACTTTTCTATGACGTAGAATCTTGATTTTCATGGCTTTTCATCAACCTGTTAAAGCCATATAATCATCATTATACGCATTAATATATGTCAAAATTAATGGAAAATAGAGTCGATCTGATATCATCAGCTTAGCTTAAGTTTCAAAATGTCGTCTATTCTAATAGAAGAAACAGAAGAGAAATGATTTTAAACTCAAAGTTGGATTCATCTTCAATGTACGTACTTTATCAAAGAATCAATCTGTGTATATCATTTTATCGATATCTAGATAGTAATCGACGTAGAATTTCTCTCACGGTGAATGATACATCTCCTTACTATTGAAGGAACTCTCAGTAGGACACATCTAATTATCATCCTGAAAAGAAGTCATATCTTTTCTCCTACTGCTGATAAAAACGTATTTGAGTTAGTGCACCAATCGCATCAAACTCTCGAGCTATTTACTTCAAAAAAATCAAAGTTTATTGAGGACAAAAAAGTAGATGATTACATCTGACAATGAAAAACAATATTTGAGCATTATCCGATTTCAATACCAATGACCATTATCATACAACCTTCGTTTCATACTCTCATAAACTTTCATTGGTTCATTTGGATTATTTAATTTCTAATACAATGAGCCATATTCATGATTCACTTGTCGGCCATATATTACATAATTTGTTGTTAAGAGCGGTTCCTTTGCTTTGATATCTCTATCAATCTCTTTTTCTATCGTCTCGCTAGCATACATGTTTGTGGCCAACAAGCGAATCGTAAATATGGGCTCATTTGAGCATTTATCGACTCTATTCGAATTTGAGCGATTTGATGAGACAGTTAATTTATTTTTCGCTCGATATTGATAGAAATCCACTATTAACGATACGTTGAATGAATACATTTTTTGCGTTCTCCGTAGCACATAGGTTGCTTTCAATGAAATTACCAGTTTCATATGACCCTATGTCAAGTTTATTAATCTCATCTGTTTGATGGCAAAATGGTATATTTATAGATGAAATGATATATTAGAATTTTCAAGATTGACCATTGTTCACAAATGAAAATATTCGAAATTTTGTTCGAACTTTTCAAAAAAAAAATCAAGCTACTAACTAGTGCACTGAAGAAAGAAGTACATATTTGCTCTCATCTTAATCTCAATATTTTAATGCAAATTTTCTGTAACAGGTAAGCAGCTCCATTAGCCATTGAATATACGAACGATTGTAAGACGTTCGATGGTAATCTTATTTGCTCGAGGTACACCTGAGTTATTTCTGATCGCATGAATAGATCGATGTTATAAAGAATATTCATCCAAGCACATGCATTGATTCTATCCATGTTTGCCGGAAAGACGACATGAGTAACAAACCAATCGACTAGGTTTTATTTTCTGTCATATGATGCCAGTGCTAATGTGTTTTATGAAAAGTAAAAATAGGAAGGTAAGGTATCCGAGAAAAACTTTCAATATGAAAACTACTCTGAACTCTTGAAAAAATGCACTTTTAAATGTTGAATCGACGTGAAAACGCCGCTAAAATGATTAGTGGCTGTTTAAATGGTACTTTAATGCTAGACTAACGAGTTAAAATAGATTGATGTACAACATCCGTTTAAACACGTAACTTTTCCAGAGAAATGGCATGTTTTTATGTGTTTTTTTAATGATTCGCACATATTTAAATGGGAAATATTCCCCCAATAAAAATCATATCACATGCTGTTAAATAAAGGCATTTAATTGTGTTAGAAAATAAAACGTTGTTATGCTTTGTACCGGACGTTTCAACAAGTTGAAGAAGCTTTGCATGATAAACCCATATAAACGAAATCATCTCTTAAAATCTACATCGAATATTTCATTGATACAAAAAATAAACCATAAAGACAGTTTTGATAGAAACTAAACTGAAAGGGAAAATTTATGTAATCGATGAAGAGTTCTGTCTATATCCTAACTGAAGAAACATGGAGCACTTCAACGTACATCTTCATCCAGTGGAAAACTGGTACAATTAGTCTATAAGGCTACTAAATTTCGCATACAAGCACAACCAGTTCTCGAACAAAAAAAAATGGCCATTAGACCCAGTTATCAGAAAAAAATGGTTTAAAGAACTGGTACCCGTGTGAAAAAAAA